ATATTAACAATATAAATATAATATATTATATATATAACATAATATAATATTAATATAATATATTTATTAATNTATATTGTATTATATAACATATAATATAATTTATTATAATATAAGATATTTATATATTATATATAATATATAATATATATTTAATATATCATATATAATATATAAATATCTTATATTATGTTATATATTATATATGATATATTACAATATTATATATAATATAATATTAATATATATTATATATTTATATTCATTTTACTAATGTAATTATATTATATATTATTATATATTATTATATTTTATAATATTATATTATATTATATTGATAATATTAATATTATGTATTTATATCATGTATAATGAATAGTGATCAACAAAAATGTTCTGAAAGATTAAGCTCCTACGCCCCCCCCCTCTCCCACAGAGGAACTTAATGTTTCATGTTTTAACAAAAGAATGGGAACTTTGATAGAAGATTACTTTTTGAACTTTTAGATGGAAACCGTGCGTCAAACACCGAAATTTTGGAAAATTAGAAAGATTTCTTTTTGAAAGAAATCTTTCAGAAAAACAAACACGCCTAAAAGTTCAATAATCTTCCAACAAAGTTCTCATTCATTTGTTAAAACATGAAAGATTGAGTTCTGACGGGGAAAGGGGGTAGGAACTTAATCTTTCATAATGTTTTTGTTGATCACTATTCACTATGCATAATATAAATACATAATATAATATTATAAATATTATATTATATTCTATAGTATATAATGAGTAATGATCCTATAGGACCCTTCTATAGATCCGTGCCACACATGGGTGTGGGATTGGACTTTTCTATAGATCCATGCCAAATTTAATCGTGATCCTTTGGGGTCCTACACACATGGGTGGGGCAGGGTCCTATAGGATCATTTCTCTTATATAACATATATTTATGGTATTATCTATAATATATGAATATATTTATGTATTATATATAATATATATTTATTATATTATATATAATATATATTTATTATATTATATATAATATATAAGAGTAATGATACTATGA